ATATATATTTTGTTAAACATCTTTTTTGCCCCCTACTTATGTAAATATCCATTTTTTGTCTTTAAATTTTAAAACGTTTATTTTTTGTCTTTCATTTTTCAAAATATCCATTTATTTCCTCACACATGTCTGCATAGGATTCATGTATGTCTGAGTGGTTCAAGGCCCATACATGATATTTTAAATCTCAAAAGCATAACATTCTATTGTTTCCATGTTAGGTGATGGCACATCCATGGAGAAGTGAAATTGATTCCCCTCCTTTGATGCTCCAATGTTTCTTGCAACAACTTTGAGGCCTTTGATGATGAAGGGATAAAAGAAAAGTGATGGATAATGGAAGAAGATGAAGCTAAATTAGTGCACTCACTCACTTTAGACCAACAAAATCAAGAACACTCCTCACAATAAAGGTTTCCTTGGGAAAACTCTCAAGAAAGCTAGGTTCCAATGAGCTCTCAGTGACTTTAAAGGAAAGGGAATTCTCTAATCCAAAAGTACTCTCTCATATATCTGAATCAAAGTCATAAGAATACACAAGGGCTAGCCTTATATAGAGTAAGCAAATTGGGGCACCAAAAATTGAATTCAAATTTGAAATATGAATTGAAATCTAACCGAGCTAACTAATCTCATGTGCATTCAAGCTTATAGTGCAATTAAGTTTAATTTGGGTTGCATTTTAGAGTCATTTGATGTTATCCATGTGTGGCCACCATTGGCTAAGCACATCGCCTACAAATGCATCTAAAATGAAACCTAAATTAAACTTAATTAACTAACTACTCTAATTAGGCCTTGAACCTATGCCAATGGCCAAAATACAATGACCTAAAATTTCTATAAAATTTAATCTAAAAAGACAAACAAAATGAACCCAATATTGGCACCCTAAAAACTTAAGGCCCATTAAGCCCAAAACAACCCAACAAGACCTAAGGCCCAAAATCTTACTCTACAAAGCCCAAAACACAAGGGCAAGAAATTTGAACTAAAAGAGAAATCCTATCATCAAATAGAGAAATAAATGAACCTTGAGGAATGCCCCAAGTAAAGAGAAGCTTGGGCCCATTAAACTCAATGTTGGCCCAATCTTCATGATTCTTCGTGACTATGGCTCTAGTGGTTGGTGTCTTGGCCTAGACTTTTCCCTCATTAGGGTTTTTATTCCCAATTGCTTCTCTTCATCTAATAGTTCTTTGTCGGTTCAATTATTGTAGTACTAGTGTTCAACATTTCTTTGTTTGAAGCAATTAAGGAGAATGAGTTCATATATTAGTAGGATAATCATTAAATTGGACTCATGATATTAGTTAGGGGAGTAAATTTTGAAACATTTTAAAAAATGGAGGACCAAAAGTAAATGGTGTTAGTTAAAAGGGTAAAATTTTTAACATATTTTGAAAAATGAAGGACCAAAAATAGACATTTTAAAATGGAGGGACGAAAAACAAACATTTACATATTTAGGAGGACAGAAAAGATGTTTAATCCTATTTTTTCACTAAATTACTATTTTTTATACAAATATAATATAAGTTTTGAATAAATTAAAAAATAATATTAATAAAGTGTTTATATCACATAATAAAAACATCAATTTTGAGTACAAATAAAACTTGAAATTGTTAGTCTAATTTGGGCTTAGTTCACAAAAAGTTTATGTAAACTAGATTTTCATTATACTTGTTTTAGAAACTTAAATTGAATAATGACTTTTGAATTTTATTAAATACACTTCTGTTTATTAACAATATACATTTCTTTTATTATTAAAAAAAATAGTCCAAACATGTATGTTATGAAGCATATATTAAAAAAAAAAGGAACAATATATTTAATGTTTCGGAAAGTAAATTTTAAAAATACATTTTTTAAATGTTTCAAAAAAATTTATTTTAAAGTTTGTTTTATAACATATTTCTAAAAAAATACTTCTTAGGTGTATGTAAAAAAAAACCAATTTGACCTAATTAATCAAAAACTCAATTATGCATTACAAAATAAACTAGACATTGTAAAAAAAATCCACCAACTTTCTTATATTTTACATGTCCAATTACCTTTTACGTATAATTCATATTAAATAAATCACAAAAGTTATCGATGAAAAATGAAAAATGTAATTTAATACTTTAATCCTACATTGTATTCAATATCGGGAGGAATTAAGATAAAGTAAAAAATTAAAATTTAAAGAAAAAATTTGGAGTGCAAAAATAATATTCAGAAAGTATAAATATGGGTGTAACTATCTTGATTGTTAGTGACACAAACCCAAAAAGAAAAGTAAGAAAGAAAAATTAACAAAAAGTGATGGAGCAGAACAAGAAGAGAGATGGAGGAAGAACCAGGGAACAAAGAAGATAGTAATGATTATTTTTTTTGTTTTTAAAATTATTTTAGTAAAATTTACTCTTAAAAAATACTGTTATTTAAAATAATAATTTTTTGTTTTTAAAATAATTAAGGAGAAGAAGTAAAAAAAATTGTTTTTAAGTGACGAGTTTTCCATTCTGTTCCATGTAGATAAAATGAGGAGAAGAAAGTGAACATAAGTAAGAGAGAAATAAGAAAATTTGTTTAATAGATAAGAATCATCTTGAAAAGAAATAAAAAATTGTGGGTAAAGTTTTTTATATTAATTTGATTTCTTAAATTAACCTTCTTTGATATATCAGTTAACATCATTTGATAATCAATTAACTTTGTTGTCATCTATTTTAAATTGCTCACCCACTTGTGCCGATGTTTTCATGCTATGCCCACCACTCACTTTATCTTAAAACTTTCTTCTATTCACCCGCCACACATATAACTTACCTTAGCTCAACATTACAGTTATACTGCGTTTTATAACATATTTTCACGTCAATTCTGTCCGAAACAAGTTAAAACTATTTGTTTCTGATTTGACGTGAAAAATCACGTTATTGACACCGAATTAAACACTCTATTAAAGGAATCAATTATTTGAAAGGTAATAACAGCCAAACTATGTGTTCAACACAAATAATCCACTATAGATTTTATTAATTTATTAAAAGAAATTTTTTAAGATTTTTTTCTTTTGTATCAGTATCTCAATACTACATCTTAGAATAATTTGGTTTGGTTGAATAATAAATAAATTTTAGCAAAAGATTATTTTACCAAAAATTAAATCAAAACACCATTTAGACTATTTAATTTTAAATTCAACACATTAATTACTTGTAATTCTTTTTTTTTTTTTTTTCTAATATTTTTTTGGTGAATTATTTTAATATAATAGATTAAATGGTAATACAATCAATTAAGACATTTGTGCACCAAACATTTAAGATGCATTAAACAATTCTTTGGTTTTTTCTAATATAATACAATCAAAGACATTTGTGTGCCAAATTTTTAAGATGCATTAAAGATGATTTAAGAAGGGATACATCATAAACTAATAATTTAAGTTTTATTATGCTATTTTGTTTCATTTTTTTATTCAAATTAAAAAACTCTATCTAATATTTTTTTATTCTCATTTTTTAAGCCAAACACTTCAATTTTCACTTTAATTCATACTTATTTTATTCATCTATTTTTCTCACTATTTCTTACTATTATTTTTCTTCCTTGCAACCAAATACATGCTTAGGCTAGTTTCGATCAGATAACATGAGGATATTCATGCTGAGTGCCAACAAGAACAAGTTACTGCTAGAGAAACCGGCAAATAGTTGTTGCTTTTCTTGATCTGAATAAAAGAAATCCTAAACAAAAATTAATTTGAAATGGATAAAGTAACAGTATTTTAACTATTAATTTACTATTTATATAAACGTATGGAACCGAATATATATTATCCAGTTTTGGCGCTGAAGTGTCAGTCTCACCCTTTTACACCCCTGAGCTTGGTGTGAGTGGTGACAGAAGAAGAAAGAAGTGAAGGCAAGACAACTACGTTAGATTATTTAATATGTTATGGTGATGCGTAACATAACAAGACAATCATCGAGACCGAAACTTTGGAATTTCGTACATTGGACACTTGCCATGTTGCCACTCCCCATCGCAATGAACTTCGGGCCGATGTGGGACCCACGCGTGCAGGTTAAGGAGCGTACTAGTATTACATAACATCATTGGCGCCTCGGTTTCAAACCAAGTATTTTTCTCTATTCCTCTCTACTCCCTCCACCCACAGCACCAAAAAATTAAAAAAGGTGACAAACAAAGAAGAAGAAGAAGCAAAAGAGGAGAGAGAAACAAGGCTTACCCACCTGATACTACTCCTCACTTTCACTTCAACAGTTATACTACTAGGTAGCTGAAGTTTCATACCTCTTGTGTGTGTGCTTCAACCCTTCCCTCCCATTATAAATTTTGATTTTTTTTCTGTCTCTTTGTTTATGATAACAGTGTTCTGACTCAAGTTCCTGTGGGGGGTGTTAGTACATTTTGGCTTTCTGTTTGTTGGTTTATTGCGTTTTTGTTTTCTTTCTCCTCTCGTGATGTTTTTTTCCCATTTATTCTCATAAAGGACGACCCATCATTTTCTGCCTAGTGTTAGTTGTTTAGAAGAAAGAAAATGGGGACTCATGCACGTGATTCTTATGTAAAAGTAAAACCATGGTACTCTTCTCTGGTTTTTCGATATTTGTTGAAATCAAGAGTTTTGTTTTTTTTTGTTTTTGTTAATATTATCTTCCTGGTTGTTTTGTGTTCAACAACACTCGGTAAGTTGTTAACACTTTCTCTTTGCAATATCACAGTTTGATTTTGTAAAGGGTTTTTTTTTCTCTGTTTTCTTCTTTCGGGTCAGTGATTTGGTCTCATTCTGCATGTAGATCTGGGTTTTGTCTCTTGTTTGTGTAGGGGATGCATAAAGTTTGTATCTTTCCTCCATTTTTCATTCCGTGGTTGATCTTACCACACAGTTTGAAAATGGGGCTATAAAATCTGGTTCTATTTTCGTGGATTTCACCGGTGTTCAATTTTGAAAAGCTTGTCACACGGTTTCTGGGTTCATGTTACAAAAATGAAACATTTTTTTTTTTGTCTTGAAACATGAAAGAGCTGTGAAATTATAGCTGTCTGGATTGCACATTTGATCATTTATAATTATTATTTGTTTTGTTGACGACATGATGGATTTGGAAAAATTGCTTAAATTTTAGTTTTAGTGAGCGAATTTATAGGATGCTTAAAGGGGTTAGTATTATAGTTTGTTGCTGGTCAATGGAGGCTCAAGTGTAACGTTGCACTGTGGAGTAAAAGGGAGGAAAGGTCTAAAACAAATTTGGAAAAGTTGGAAGATGGTTTTCCGTTAATTATATTCTACTAATAATTATTTTGGGACAAGGGGTTCTATTTAATTCTATTTGTTAATTTATTTTTGGTTTTGAATTTGGTAGGTGGTAGTGGCGTTAGTTTACTTGGAGTTTCTTTGAAGGGATTATGTGCGGTTTGTTTGTTGGGTTTTTTGTTGAATGCTGATCCGAGGTGGTCATATATTGTAAAGTGCAAAGTGCCTCTTCCCACAGTTATAAATCAAATTCCCTTATTGTCTTTATTTCTTTCTCAGATTACTATTGCAGGAAGTGTGGGTCAGGGGCTTTGAAGTAGAGGTTCTTTATCACCCCAGATATTAAAGTATGCAGACGCCAAAAGCAAGGTAAGATTGTCCTATTTCACACTTTTGCAACATTCCATTTTTTGATCTGTGTAAAGATGAATTCTGGGGTCTTAATGAGGGATGGAGTGCTTTTATTTTATTCACTGGGGTTGGTTGTATGATTTAAGGCTTGTTCCTTTGCAGGGAAATCTGATGATTTAATTTGGGTCCATTTATTAAATTGGAGTTTATTATTGAACTCCTAACTAATCTTGTTACAGAAAGTGTATTCAAACAAATTAAATATAATTATTTCTGGGATCTAAATGAGGATGAATACTACCTGTTATCCATTAAATTTGAATGTACCCGTACTACCATTCAGAACTTGTTGCATTCCGAAGAAATGTTAAGAATTAAATAGGGGCATATCTGTATTTAATTGGAGTTGTTTGGTGAACTCCAAATGAATTGATATTGATATTGTGTAAAACTGAGTTTCTTGACTTAGTTGTTTTAAGGCCTGCTTTGGACATGAGATTTTACCTGGTGCTCCCAGGAACAAATCTCGATGTTAATATAGTATTTGAACAGCGGAAGCTATGTCCTGCAAGAGCAAATTATTCACTAGTTATTAATTTTAGGATACTGTGTGGATTATGTCCATGGTTTAAAAAAAATATTGGTATTGCATAAGTCTGTACTATCAAAACTAATTTTAAAAGTCATAACTGGTAGACAAATTTACATAATTTTCTGTGTCCTCTATGTAACAAACCTATTTTGGAAAAGATTGCACTGTTAAAACATAACTCTAATTTAGATTCCATTTTAATCCCGAAGATTTGAAAAGGGACTCTTTAAAATTAAATTCTCCTTACTTGATCACTGTTCTATGTCATGTCAAGATTGTTTTTCATCGGCATTCTACATTTACTCATGCATGCTTGTTGCCATATGATTGTCTGTGAGCAGAACTGGTGCTTCAGAAGTGCCCCAAAGGAAGTCTCCTGCATCTCCGAAGCAAGCAAGTAAGACACCAAAAGATAGAAGCCCAAAGGTCACAGAACGCAGGTCACCAAGAAGTCCAATAGCTGAGGTATTATAACCCGGGACCTATTTGGATAAACTTTTCTTGAAGTACTTCTAGGAACAAAAAATAGGAAGAAAAATAGAAATAAATTTTTCCATATACTGAAACTAATTTATGCATAAGTTAAAATTAAGATTTTGGAGAAACTAATAGGAGAAAGATTCTACAAATTAGCTTATACATGAACAAATTTTAGTTTATTGAAAAGTTTATTTCATATGTTCTTATTTTGCTCTCCTGTAAGTGTTTTTGGAAAAATTTACTCAAACATACCCTTAATGTATGACTAAAACTCTAGAAGCCTTAACTGAATAATCCCCTGCTCCTCCTATTGTTACCATTCCAAAAAGTTCTTCATTATTCTCTTATCCACATCTTTATAAAAATTAAATCCAAAAGATTGAGTTTCTTGGTAGAGTTTTAAATTTCATTATTTGCTCTATCTCCTTGCCTTTTTTTCATCTGGCTCTAGAAGAAGAAACCAAATAGGGTCCAGGAATTAGAGTCTCAACTCGCTCAACTTGAAGAAGATCTAAAGAGAACTAAGGACCAACTCAACTCATCTGAGTCATGGAAGAGGAAAGCTCAGCAGGAGGCTGAAGAAGCAAAGAAGCAGCTTTTAGCCATGTCAAAAGATCTAGAGGAATCCCAGCAACAGCTTATGGAACTATCTGCTTCTGAAGAGGAACGGCTCCAAGAACTCCGAAAAATTTCTCAGGACCGCGATCGAGCATGGCAATCCGAACTGGAGGCTGTCCAGAAGCAGCACTCAATGGATTCAGCTGCTCTTGTGTCTGCAATGAATGAAATCCAGAAACTGAAAATTCAACTTGAAAGAGTACGCGAATCTGAAGCTGTTCATATTAGCAATGCTGAGTCAGACAATGCTGAGATTGAGGACTTGAGAATGGAGCTTGATGAAGCACTCACTCTGGTGGAAAAGATGAAAAATGAGGTGAGGGATTGTAAAGAATCTGAATCTCGGGCTTTGGAAGTAGTTGGCAAAACTCAAATGCAATTGGAAGCAGCAAACAAGACTGTGGAAACACTCCAGTTAGAAGGAGTGAAAGCGTCAGAAGAGTTCAAATCCTTAGCTTTAGAGCTGGAGCAATCAAGAGCTCAAGTGAAATCATTGGAGGAACTTGCTAGCAAACTTCAGGCTGATTTGGTTGGTGGTGCTAACAAAAATGTGTTAGGTCCAGCCAATGAAGCAGAGAAAGATGTAGAAAATGAGGAGATAAACCAGCTTAAAGCTGAGCTTGTTTCTGCCAAATCTGAAGCAGCGCAATTAAAGTCTGCGCTGGATGTTTCTGAGGTTCGTTACCAAGAAGAGTATATTCAAAGCACATTGCAAATTAGAAGCGCTTTTGAGCAATTAGAGCATGCAAAATCAGAATCTTCTCAGAGGCAGGGTGAATTAAATGAGGAATTGAAGAGAGCTAAAGCGGATATTGAAGAGTTAAGGGTGAGGCTGATGGACAAGGAATCTCAGTTGCAGGGTTTGTCAGAGGAGAATGAGATGCTCATGTCAAGGATCAAGCAAAACCAACCTGGTGAGAGAGAATCTGAACCTGTGGTGGAGCTCAAAAAATTGGATGCTGATATGGCTGAGTTGAAGGAAAGATTATTGGACAAAGAGACAGAACTGCAAAATGTGACTGAGGAAAACAATGCACTCAAGATGGAAATAAAGAGGGTGGAGTTACAGAACAATAAAATCCCTCATGAGGCTGTTGCTTCTGCTGAAGCAGCAAGGGCTGCAGAGCGCGAAGCTTTGATGAAACTAGGCTACATGACAGAAGAAGCTGATAAAAGTAACAGAAGGGTTGCACAGGTAACCGAGCAGTTAGACTCCGCGCAGGCTGCGAATTCTGAGTTAGAGGCTGAGTTAAGGAGGTTGAAAGTGCAGTCAGATCAGTGGAGAAAAGCGGCCGAAGCAGCAGCTGCTATGATTTCTGCTGGAAACAATGGAAAGTTTGTGGAACGAACTGGTTCACTTGACAATAGCTACAATTCTATTACTGCCAAGATGAGTTCACCTTATTCAGAAGACACAGATGATGACTCGCCCAAGAAGAAAAATACTAACATGTTGAAGAAGATTGGAGTGTTGTGGAAGAAGAACCATTGATGTGTCACATGTGTGTATATGTTTTTCAGGTAGTTTGACATTGTATCTTACACTCATTTCATACTGGTTAGCTTGTTGAGTAAATTGGTTTAACTTGTGTTGTTTCATTGTCAGGTATCCTGTGGTGTGGTCACCATTCGAGCAAACCTTGGGGGACAATTTGCCTAAAGAAGATTGTGCAACAAATATTTTAAAGTTAAGAAGGTTGTGTAATATTTTCAAGTTGCTAAATGAGGTTTAGTGGTTCCACTTGCTGCTTGCTACGGTTTTGTAATTGTGCAGTGAGTGTTTATAGGCCAGGCCTTACATGTATTTGTTCTTTCTACCAAATTTCAATTTCATGTTACACATTACTAGACTCTATAGTAAGTAGTAAGAAACCCAACTCTAGGGGAAAGATTGTTTCAATCTTGTTATTTGAGACTAATGTCATGTCAATATTGTTGGTGGGCAACTTGCAACAAAGTATATATCCATCATGATTCATGTGTTAGAGATCTTATATGCCTTTTTTTTTTTTTTTTTTCTCGTTCGAATGTTAAAATCACTATTATGAAGAGAACTGCATCGATCCACTATATTGGTAGGAATTCTGGTTTTATTATGCCTCTGAATATCCAATAACAGACAGTAAACCTTGTTCTTGAAATTGTAAGTAAAGTAGTGATAAAAGCTTTAGTTTTTGAATTCGCAAAATTGCTTGGTCCTTGATTTATAAAACGGGGTTTGATTTGGTTCTTTCATTACATTTTTTTTTTACTAATATCAAGAATGATTAAATATTTCATGTACGACCACTAATGATTTTATGCCGTTCATTAATTTTCATGAATAATGATTTTGTTGATTTTTTTATAATTATTTTAAGTCACTTTAAACATATTACGAGATTTGGTGTAAGAAAAAACATATTACGTATTTTAATTAATTTACTACTATGTAAAAAATATTATTGTTATATCGAAATTAAATTTTTACAATAATGATTTGTACAATCAAACACTAAAATGTGGGATTGTTCAAATTTGAGTTCCTGTTCAGATGTATAGTTGCATTAAATATTTAGAGGAAGAGTTTTATTGTTTATAATTATTTTATCTATATTTATATATATAAATGATTTTTATTTTTATGTATAATTTTTTTTTACTGTTTTACTCTTATAATCATTTCTAACCTTTTTCAATCACTTATTATATTTTTTTATAAGATATAAAGAGACACAAAATGTAACGACTCGCCTAGGGATGACAAAATTACTCGTACCCGTGGGTATCTATGGCTAAAACCCTACGGATAATAAATGGATAGAATAATTGGATACTCGCGCATAATGGGAACAGATAATTTTTTACCCGTTTATAAACAGGGCGGGGGCGGGTATGATGATATCCATACCCGTGGGTACCCATTTAATAATATTTCTTAAATATCCTAATTATCCTATAACCCTAAAACTACACTCTCTCATCTTATTTTCTTTCCATAGCCGCACATCCCACACATGAGTCATCACAATAAGATTTATGTATTTTAAGTTGTTTACTTTCGTTTAGAATTATGAGATTGAATTATTGTAGCTTTCTGATACGAGACTTTCACTTGTGAGATTGATGTATTTTAAGTTATTGATTATCTTTCATTTTTATTATTATTTCAACAAAATTAACATTAATTAAATACAAGTTAGAAATTAACATTAAATTTTTATTTTTAATATTTCAATGACATTAAATATAAACTTAAAATTATTTCTAATATAATTTTTTTAATTTCTTAAAAAATTTATAAATATCCATGAACATCTGTGGGTATTCAAGAAATTCATAGATACTCTTACGGATATGGGGTGGGTATGAGGCCAATTTTCATCTCGCGGGACGAATTTACTATTACCCGCCCCCATGGGGCCCCATTGCCATCCCTAGACCCGCCTAGCCGTCACAAAGCAAAACATCACCACACAGGAACAGAGTATGCCCATCAACAACAAGCTAGCTCCTGCTACCCCCTGTAGCCCTACTACTACACTCCAGCCTATCCTTGCTCTGCTCTCATACACAGTATGATCATTGCAGTTCAACCCACATGGAAACAGGCAAGGGTAAGCTAGTGAAAAGAATTAACATATAAATAAATTATAGACAGCTTTCAACAAATCTAACATACAACACATAACAACATACAGCTACATCACAGCTACACAACACACAACACACATACAACTCATATCAATCAGCAAATCAACACCACAACAGCTTATGCGTCGTCACACATTTCAACTCGAAGATCTCCTACAATATGGGTGAGTAGGGATGGCAACGGGGCGGGTCGGGTACGGGTTTCATGATACCCGTCCCCGTCCCCGTCCCCATACTCGTCGGGTATAAATTTTCATCCCCATCTTCGTCCCCGTCGAGTATCGGGTATACCCGTACCCGTACCCGTATCCGTCAATTTTTTTATTTTTTATTTTTTGTAAAAAAAAGAAGATATTTTTTAATTATTTTTTTTATTAATTATAATTATAATTAGATTATTTCTTTATCTCATATTATAATAAATAATCACACATAAAAAAAATATTAAATTTTTTTAATATAATTAAATTGAAAGTGAGTATTAAATTAAAAATGAGAACGGGGACGGGTACGGGGTGGGTAAGTACATACTCGTACCCGTACCCGTACCCGATTTAATATATCAGGTTTTACCCGTACTCGTACCCGTACCCGTACCCTGTCAAACCGGGTATTCCCCGTCAAAGTCGGGACGGGTTCGGGTATTACCCGCGGGTATGGGTATATTTGCCATCCTTATGAGTGAGCAGTTTAAGTGGCTAGGTCCTACCGAACCGATAACAAAGAACCTTTTTGGGTTTGCTAGGTAAACAAAAATTTGGATATCAATCCACAACTTCACGATTTCTCAAATTTTGCCACTTAAACAAGGAAGTATGGTACTATGTCAGGATAGAGCAGTTGGGTTTTAGCCCTACCACGACATTAGCTAGCTTAACTAAGCTACCTATGGAATTAGCCTACCAACTATCCTCCAAATACCACAACCTTTCGATACTCAGTTAGGAACTAAGTTCCCGACTTCGTACTTTAATCGATTGGCCGCTTACAATCGGTATAGCTCGACCTGGCCCCTATACCGTGGTCGCTTTGTACACGTGTGCCTTGACCTTTCTCACACACGGGACCAACTAAGTACTGGGAGGAGAACAACACAATGACCACTCCAAGGGACAGCTTCCCAAGGAGGGTTTTCAACAAATTGGGCTCTAAGAGCACCACAGCTTCCTCAATCCGCACAATGGGATGAATAACTTCGAAAAACAACTCCTCTAGTCTTAGTGATCAACAGCTCATCATTACAGCTTAAACAACTCATAAACCCTAAACCCTAAACCCTAAACCCTAAAGCAGCATATTCAACATTCAGCACAACTCAACATAACAACATTAACAACTTAAACAATATACAACACAACTCAGCTTAACGGCATTAACAGCTTAAACAGCTTAAACAACATACAACACAGCTCAGCTTAACGACATTAATAGCTTAAACAACATACAGCACAGCTCAGCTTAATGACATTAACAACATAAACAACATACAACACAACTCAACTTAACATCTTAAACAACATGATCAACAACTTCACAACATACAACATATTCAACACATAATACAACTAACCCATCATGTTTACAACTCATCTATCATGCCAACCTACACAACATATATAGCATGAATTAACCTACACACCCAAGACAGCCTTTGACTTATCCAAATCACTCCTTGTGAAATGACAACTTTTACATAAAACAACATATCGGGAGTTATACTACTCCTATCATGCTCATCCTTATCTCATATGAAAGATAAGAAGATTTCCTACAACTCTCATGAAGACACCAAGTCCTAATTCCTTCATCTACCTTGTTAAAAATTCTAAAAACCGCAGCAGCTATAACCAATGCTGGCAGCTTGACCCCTCTTCACTAAAACAACCATATCTGGAGTTCTAGACCTCCTTTTTGGGTGATTCCAGCACCATTGGAAAGCTAACATCCAAGGCTACAACTTTCATGAAGACTTAAAGACCAACATACTCACGCCCGGTGCATTAAAATCACGCCCGATGCGAACTCAACTAGAGACCTACAAAGGTCTCTGCGCCGACGCAATTATCCTGCGCCCGGCGCAACCCTAGATAGAGACTCACAATGGGTCTCCACGCCCGGCGTGCTCCGATCACACCCGGCGCAATATCAATAACAAAACACAAGACTCACGTCTGATAGTACGCCCGACGTGGTTCTTCCCACGCCCGATGTGATTCACCTAGGGATTCCCCATTTCAAATCAAGCCTGGCGCGACTAGCTTTGCGCCTGACATGAAAAGACAATGGTGGCCTCTGATGAACGCACGCTCGGCGCCAAGAACTGCGCCCGACGCGATTTCAAACTGTAACCCTCACCACTTCAAAAATTTCACCCAAAACATGCAAAATCAGCCAGCTCAGACACATGCAATCCATCAAATGAACTACATTTTCATCATACAACCCAAAAACGATCTCTTTTTCAACATGCAACCATCAAACACCTAAAATCCCCATTTTTCCCAATTTTCTCGAAACCCCGAAAATGCACAACACTTCAAATCCAACCATCATTCTCCAAAAATCAAGCAATATTTGAGTTTCTAAACTCATTTCCAAACAATCTGCACGAAATCTAGTTTTCCTTACCTCGGAGAAGAAGAAGAAGCTTGGTTATGGAACTCGGAGCTCTCAACTACTCAGTACCTACGAACACAGCAATCACCAAGAGTTTGAGAATTCTGAGATTAAGGAAAAGAGAGTGAGAAGGGATAGGAATGTTGAGAGGGAGGGGGAGAAGGAGGGGAGCGGTTCTCACACAAAATGTCTCCTTCATTAATATGAATAAAATGACTTTATATAAGATTGTCTTTAATTGAATATGTCGTCGATCATAATTAAAAAAAAAAACTAAAGTGTGGGCTTTGGAGAATGAAGTTGCCAGCATTTTCAAACCCAATGACTAAAACGTAAAATGAAGATTTTAGTTTAAGAATGACAAGGGGTTGGAAAGAAAAAGGCGATTTGTTTTCCCAACCTATCACATTATTAGTGGGAACAAAAAATAAACAAATATTGATATCGGTATAATAATATATAAAAAGGTGATTCATCGTTTTTGTGTATATAAATTTTAAAGTATTTTTATCATTTATTTATTATAATAACTGTATAATTTTTTTAAATAGAAGATAATTTAATTATTTTATTTTATAAATTTAAATAAAAATATTATTCTTTAAAAATAAACTGCATCATAATCATTTGTAGCTTTTATATTCCACAATATTAGTAAGGTACAAAATGTCCTTTTTTTTTTCTTTGCTAGTTTATATAATACTTTTTTATGTTTATATTATTATTATTATTAGTAGTAAATTACGTTATCTCTTTTAAAAGAAAAAATATTATATTATCCTTTTTTCTTATGTTAAATGATATAATTTAGTTCATTTAATTTAATATTATTAATATAAATTATAATATTTTTTTAAGGGGTGTAATATCTATTTTATATATGTTAAATTATTAAGTAAAAATGGTATGGTGCAACAACATGAACTCCCATAATAGAAGTTGACGAGATCAGAAGATATAGGTGTACCGAGAAAACGCCTCGTGGTTTCTGATTCTTCCTTCCCCTTCCCATGAATTTTTTCCGTTAATGGAATACTCCCACTTCCTATTGTCGCTGCTCCTTCAAATCGATCTCGTTCCGTCGTAAAAACAATGTCAGAGAGTGACATAGGTTGGGACTTTCACCTCCGAAAGCTCTCTGCCAGTGGCAGAGACTCCAACACCGCCAACGATCCCTCCCTTCTTCTCTCCGTAACACTTTCTCTCTCCATTCCTCTCATCACCTTCTCATTGCATTACTGATTACACTCTCCCTCTTGGTAATGTATACATTTTTTTATTAGGTGAAGAAGCTTCATGAATTATGCAAGACCCAAAATTCTCACGACTTGGTAGCTAGGGTTTTTCCCCCGATCAACAAGATCTTCCAGCGCGCTGTCGCTTCCCTTTCTCAATCTCGAACCTCCAATGGCCTTCTTTTGCTCGTATGTTTGTTTGTTTTTTTTTATAATTGACGATTTTATTCTCAATTCTGATGCTTGCTTTCTCTTCAATATTCAAATAACGTACACTTGTTTGGTTCTCAGGCGATTCTTCAGTTTTACCTGGACTTTGGGGAGATTGTTCTTCATGACGCTGATCCTAGTCTTAGGATGTTTTTTCGTTCGTGCTTGAGCAGGTAATAATTGTGCGTACGTATATATATATATATATATTAAGAAAATGTGCTTCAATTGACGTTTTGGCTCTGCGAGAAAAGTTAATTTTTGACCGTACAATAATGTATAGATGGTCGAGATTAAATTTAAGAAATTAGTTTTTTTTATTATATATAATGGGATGATAAAGGATAGTTATTTATTTGTCAAAAATTAATTTAATGGTTATTCTGTTTTATCTTTGCCTGTTCTCTTATTTATCCTCTGGTTTTTACCCTTCATAAATAAAATGGAGATTGGAGAGGAAGGAGATAGGAGTAGGTTGTGAAGTACAGGGACACTATTGTTTGGTATAAACTCAAAGTTTAAGGTGTAAAATTTAAAGGAAAAGGATTTTATGGAATTAATATGTTACTAGCTTAACTTTCTTTTTTTGGGTTTAAAGGAAAATCATATTTGCTCATGGTTAGACATTCATTATTTGAAAATAAAAAAAATGTTAATAAAATAATTCTTCATCACTATGAGTCTATATGACCATGAGGGAATAGAAAATTACATGGAGTGAAATTTGACAAATAATTGAATCATCATGACTTATTAAAATATATCATCATTTAATAGAAGAGATTTAACTCCAAGGATTAATTGATGTGACAAAAATTAATGAAAAATTAAAAGTTGAAAAAAAGTTATGGACTAAAAAATAAATTTTTAAAAAGTTATTTTAGCCATATATTTTTTTTTATATCCTGTTTGGTAAGTTTTTTACTCTATTCAAATGAAAAATAAAATTTTAATCAACTTTTCTGGTTCTTCTCTCTCCCTAAGAGTCTGTTCAAAGGAGGAGGATAATTTTAATAGAGGGGTTAAAAATTTTGTTGATTGAGAGGAGGGGAGGGAATGAATTTTAATGGAGGAGAGATAATATTTTTCTTATATGATTTATAAGGGAAGAGAGAAATTAAAAACCAATTTATTTTTATACTCTTATAATTTTAAATTTAAAAACATAAATAAAAATATTTTAGTCGTTATATTAAAAATGCTATAAAATTTCTCCCCTTCCCTCCAAATCTCTCATGGAGGGAAGGAGTTTTGCTCCCCTTGAATCTCGTGATTCTTCTAACCAAACACTATTTAAATCACCAGTTTCAAGTTTGCTTTTCTACCTTTCACTTGCTTTCATTTTTTAAAGTTAAAACCACTATATTCAAGCTTGTATGTTCTTCCAGATATGTGAAACACATGTCCTTCTTGCTTGCAAAAGCTCAACCCATACACAGATGGCATTTTAATTTTGAATCGGAAGTGCAGAACATGTCACAGAAATTCGAAACTGGGAAATACAGAACTGAAGTTGGAGGTTCAGAATTATTATTACCTATTCTAGTGGATTGGGATTACCAGGCTTGATCAAGCCTCAAGTGGTTGATGATGGATAGCATAGAAGAATTTCGATATTTTGATGGAAGAAATAGTGTATTATAGTAATGTACATAAGTGGAAGACTTGGGAAAGCCAAAAGAATGATCTGGAAGTAGCAAACTGTTTGTGCCACCATTACTGATAGAGGCAAGAGCAGGAGAGATATGACATGTGAGCCAGACGTTAGGAAGTCTTAGTATGGATTTGTTTAGCTTCAGAGATTCCGGAAGATTTAATAATTTGATCTAAATCAGAGTACTCTTTATCCCCTTAAAAATGGTTGAAATTTTATTTTAATGACACTTATGCCTTGTCTTTCTTGATCTATCAAACAATAATTAAAAGAGGAAATTTCAAATTTTATCACTTCAAAGTTTACCCCCAATTTACTTTTATACTAAAAAGGCCCCAAGAATGTCACAGATTTATCATTGTAGGAATTTATTTGTATCTTTTTGCAGGGAGTTTGCTGATCCTGTCGTTGCAGAAGCAACGCTTGAACTTCTCATTATCAACAAGAAGAAGCTTCTGACTTCCTTCCCTAACTTGTTGCCTCAGGTATAACCTAATTTCCTGATGCACCTTCCGTTTTCAAAAATGTTTCATGCAATGAACTTAAGAAATTTAACAATTAGCTTGAGAAAGTACTAGCTCAATGAGTTTTTTGCTTAGTTGAGTATTTTTAGGTGTTAGGGTCTCCAGGATGATACAAAAATAAAATTGTCACGGATGGATTGAATTGTCTTGGCGTTGGTTTGGGTTTTAACTGTCATATGTTCCCCTCTGGAAATTCTGAACTTTTATTATCTACCTTGAAGCATGAGATCAGGATGCACTGTTAACCTCTTGATTCATGAGCTTGTGGGCTTTGGAGTTTGCATTTTATCCCAATAGCGACAGTATTTTTCTATCTGATATCATCTATAATTATTCTTTTGGCAGTTTTTTCCTTTGTTGTTAAAGTTGATTGCTTGGAATGGTGACAGGTATGTACCTTTTTTTTCTTCCCTTTTCATTTGGTTTTGGGGGGATGGGGGTAAAGGTAAACTAACTGAGGTAAATAATTTTCCTGCCACATTCTGATCTAGTTAAATACAATGAGTGTCTGATCATTTGCTCTTCCTTGTGCTTCCAAATCTTAATCTTAAAATACATAAGCCATGTTAATAATTTTTCTATACATTTTAACCATTAAAGAGGCAAAGAAATGGTTTCAAGAGGAGCATTAAAATTTGACTATCCTCTTGTTATAAGGTGGGTAAATATTTAAAAGAGACTTTGTTTAGTTGCCTGTTGCAAGAATGATAAAGATTGAACATTTTATGTGATGAAATCCATCTTAATTGTGGTCACCTCTAGCCCACCTTTGGAGTGACCTCTTTAAGACCTGCCTTAATTACAAATTCATGGATGGTGTTTAGTCCTATATCAACTAAGAGTATGGCTTAAAATAGAGCTTTGAAGCTTGGAAAGTCTTTACCTTACTAGCTGGTTTTTTGGGGTTAAGTTAAGTGCTTAGATCAAATTCTAAAATGGTATCACTATCAGAGTCTATCCTAGATCAATTGTTGGGACACTTACATTGCCACTATCTTGGCCCATAGCCCTGAGTTTGAGAAAGTTACCTTAATTGTGGTTACCCTTGACCCACCTTAGTTGTTGCTTCTTTGGGCTGCCATAATTGCAATGTTGAAGGGGGGTGTGTTTAGTCCCACATCCTAGCAATTCTAACCTTACAAATCGGTTTTGTAAGATTGAGTTAAGTTATAAGTCTAAATGCTAAGAATATGTCTCTTAGGTTTCAAGTAGCAATATATTACCGCAGCCAAATGGAATCAAATCAAGCATAATTGGTTCTTAGAGTCACAATTTTTTTCTCTTCTACTTGAGTTTATGTTGCTCTGCTGCTTGTCAATTTGTGGAAGCCTTTGTCTAGGGTTTTTGGAAACATTCTGTGTGCCCTTGGTCCATGGACGGATGGACCAGTTTTTGGCAACTAACTTTGCTGGTTTTGGTTGAAATAAAGAAACCAGATTTTTGTGGTAGTGTTCTGTCTATGCTACACTTTGGTGCATGTTGTTGGAGTGTAATTATCTTTTCTTTTTCTGTGGCAATGTGCCAAATAGACAAGGGATATTAACCAATTTTACTATATTGTTGCAGATTAGAGAAACTATTTTTGAAAGCCTTTCCGGGCTTGATGTCACCTGAGTCATTTATTCCCTTATTTCCACCTTTAGTAGATTTGCCAAGTACGTTCAATTTATGTAACCATCTATGTTTTGACCTTTTATTTTTATAGGAAAATTAATATATGCAATTTACACTTTTTTTTTTCACTTTTCTGAATTTCTTGGATACGAACAACATAGTTAATCAAGTTAGGTGAATAGTTGACTGCGACAAACTTACATGTCTAACTTTTCCAACTTTTATTCCTTTTAGGAACATTTTCCATTGCATATTTGCAATATTATTCATAATGATTCTATGCGGGGCTTCTTCCCCAATGTAAAGAAGTAAAATAGAAAAGGAAAAAAGCATGGACTATTCACTTCAGTAATGATTAAGAATCACTTTGGAAAAATAGGTAGCTAATGCAGATGCACATCCTAGATGTAATAAGCTTGAGGATATGCTGAGTATCTGCTTCTTCTACTCTCCCTTGACAAAACTTGATCAATTCAAAATTTTCCTGCCCATCTTTGCTAGTTTTGTTAGTAGCATTGGAAAAGGTGGAAAAGAGCTCAGGACCACTAATTGGGAGCAACATAGCTTCTATTCAGAAAAATACTGCCCCTAAGGTTATCTTTAATACTTTAAATTTAAGTAAAATCTAGCGACAGTTGCAACAGTGTAACCTCTGACTGACTGTCTTTTTTCCCAATGTAGATGCTACTTGCCCTTATGGATGAGGCATATACTGGTTCAACTATAGAAGATGTTGGAGGAGATGTGTATAGCAGGGCAATTGATGTATCTGATCCTTTGTTCCTTGAGCTTTTAAAGGATGAAAATGATGGCATCGCTGTATGGCTACCTTTCATCTTGTTAATCACTGTTAGTTCAATTTGTTTTGGTTCCTGATACTTTAAAGGTCAAAATTCAAATTTTTGAGCCATTTTTTTTATCAGTCACTTCATGTTTACCAAGATATATTAACAGTCACTTAGAACACAAGATTGATAAAAACTTAGCTGTCACTAATATTTATTTTTACATTTTGAATGGTTAATATTCAAGGGAAGTGTATGTGTTTTTCCAAATCTATTTGATATTATTATTATAACTCCATTGCAACTCTAGTGTTTTTGTTCAGCGTTGAGCTTCATTTAGGTTCTAAAAGTAAATTCCATCATATGCCAGGAACGTCCCTGGTCGTCTCCAGTGATGGTCTCAATATTGAAGGCAGCCAACAATCCTTACTCTGATAAGCTGAAAGCTGTACTAAGCATGGCACCACGTCTTCTTGATGTTTACTTCTCCATAGCATTGCATAATGTCAATAAATGTTAGTTTTGTTCACATCTATGTTTGCTTTGGGATTATTGGATGATATTGAGGATTTTGTTATTAGAATCTGTGCTCTTGAGGAAATATATTGATGACTTGGCTGTGTTTACAGATTTTTCCTCTTTTTAAAATTCATTTTCAGCTTCAGTTTGTGCATTGATTCCCCTGCTTATGTCAAGATTTGCTACAATATTTCCAGACAAAATATTTTCATATGAGGTATTGATTATATCTTCTCACGTCATTACGCGTTAAAATTGCTTTTGAGATCTGGCATTTGAAAATGCATGCTGGTGCTTATTAGCTTCTGTAGATCTATCATTTACTATTTTAATCTCTCCACTTTTTGGAAACTTCAACTCTAGTAATCTGGCCCAAACAAATGGAATTCAGTGACATCTTTTCTTCTATATGAAGTTTCATAAAATTCATTAAATATTAAGGTGTTGTAGGAGATAACAAATCCTTTATCATGATGATGGTGATAGTTATTATTATTATTATTATTATTATTATTATTATTATTATTATTATTATTGTTATTGTTATTATTATTATGCACAATATTAATAGCAAATCCCTTATTTATGCTAATAATATAACTACTGAAATTATAGAATTTTAGGTTGGAGGGTGGTAAAGGAGAGATTCTGAAATTGATATTCACTTGATATGAGATCATATGTTAAAAAACCAAAGCACTAACCTTTATTATACTAATACTAGACTCATAATCCTACAATAAGGAAGCAAATCATGAAATGTAAAAAATATGGAATTGGAAACCAGCACTTCTCCTTCTCAAGCTAAAGCTCACTAAGCTTGTTGCAAATGAATATGGGCTCTACCAAACATGACTAGAAAGGAAATTCTGGGACATTGGAGATGTAAAATGTTCAAAAGACAATTCAGCAAGATATTGAGAAATGATCAGCCTAAAGAACCAGTTGGAATGTTGTATGGCCGAGAAGATACTTCACCGGAATGATCATAAATGAAAATTTCCTCGCAGGTAAATAAGAACTAAAACTTCTCCAAGTTCATCAACAATTGCATTTGGAAGCTTAAAATAGCTAGAAAACTCGGGAGATCCAAAAAACGCAAATTGAAAGTAAGGACGATGTGCATCACAACCATGGAGCGTTCGTTGCCAACTTGACTCATTAGTGAGATAGGAGGTATTACCGTCGTTACTATTCACAATGGGAGATTGGCATGAATATTCAGCCAATTAATTACTAATTTGATCACTGTATGACTCATTGTTAAGAAAGATTTCACTGAAAGAGAGCAGCATCATAAAGATTGGATGGTTTGGGTTACCAAATAAATCTATGTGTAGAACATAAAAGCAGGTGCTAGAATAGGGATGGGGATACACATGGTATGACATGTCGGACAAAGACCAATGCTGGACCTCGTCCAGGACAGAGACCAGCGGTTGCATAATACACCAAGGACTGAGTCAGCCGATGAAAAGCCACTTAAGGTATTATAGGACGGAAATAAGCCAAGCTATGGAAAGATAAGCTAGAATGGAGCCAATATATGGAAATACATGCCAAAATTAATGGCAATATGTTGAAATAAGGTTGAAACAGAGCCAATCTTTATAGAGGCAGCTAAAATTGATCCAAATTGCAGAAAGACAGGATGGAACTGAGCCAATCTGCATAAAAGGAGCTAGAATGACTGCAACAACGCGTGGCAGAACAAGAGCTCAAAACAAATAACTCAATAAGTAAAACCTACAAGGAGAGGTCAGTAGCAAACTAAGATGAAACAAACAAAAAAATAAAACCACAATATTTTTTTTGGTGATAATCAAGCTCCAAAAAGTCAACATGACCTAAGGAAAAACCTATTCACAAGGTGGATACCATGGCTCTGACACTTGCAATTATAATGTTTTTGTTATAGAGATTGGTAAAGGAGAGAATAGAGACTAAATAATCTGTAATTGATATTCACTATGTGATGATGTGTTATATACGTTACAAAACATAAGGCATTAACCGTTATTTAAGCTAATAGTAGACTCACACTCCCAATTAAATAAGAAAATTAATCATGATATATAAGGAAATATGGATTATGTAAATGAACCCTAAGAGATAACTTAAAATATTCTAAGATATAGTTATAATATCATGAGATGTCTTCATGATATTCTAGTAATGACATTTCTTTTTATTTTGCTCTATACATGCTACTCTGTACTTGACAAAAAAATTTAACCAGTTAGGGAAATATGAACAACAGATGATGTTCCTAATCGGAACAACAAAAGGAAGGAAAATAGGCAAAGGGTATCTTATTTTGTTTATTACTGTTGAAGGCACCAAAATACCTGTCTAAGGCATGGAGGTGAGGAACTAAAAATGATCAACACCTTATAGTGCCTTAGGAGCGTTAATGGTTCAGGTGAGGCACTACTTTAGCATCTTATTGATGACAATAGTATAGAAATATCTAAAACTCAGCTTTTGACTTGCTAATTGTGGCACTAAAGGGAGTAATATTCAGAAAAATAAAAAGTTATGGTCTTTGGGATTTTCAACTGCGAGCAACTTAGGGTTTTTGTAAATGGAACCCTGCAATCTCTTATTTTTACTGTGAATATTATGCTTGCGTACTTAATTTATATAGATAATAACTGCAAAATAGTTGGGCACTCAAATATTTAACTAAGCAAAATCTGAATGCCTTCCTTCTGTAAGGTTATGCATTTTAGTGCCAATTTCCACTAGGACTTAACCTCAAAGGCACCTTCATCTTAGGGTACCTTTCTTTTGTTATTAATTCCACCTTTCAATTTTTGTTTTTGTGAACAAAGTTATTGTTTTCCATATACATACTTCGTGTTCTAAGTTCTGCCGTGCTTTTCAGGTTCGAAAACGGCTTTTGGAGTTTATGCTCTCCACATTTCAGCACTCACCAAACTTCATTGCCGTTTTAAAGGTATCTTGTTGGCAATATACCACTTTTTATATATGATTTCACACCAAATGCTGTTCAATTTTTTTTTTTTTTTTTTGTGATCTATCATGGATTGGGAACTGGAAGAATGTGCAACCCGACTATTTTATTTTTGGTTATTGGCCACCTTATACCCCTCCATTGGCTTACAAAATCTATCGATGTTTCTTAAAGTTTCTGTTGGATCTCACATCGACTAAAGATAAAACCACAATGTATATTTCCCACTAATCATCACCTTACCAATTAATTTTATAAGATTGAGTTAGGTTTCAAACCAAGAGAACAACACAATAGGCACAAAGACAAATAAATTAAAGAACCATTAGTCAATCAAGGTTTAAGCCCCAATTCTAGAAAAGTGAACTGCTCACACATATACATAAATAGAATCCAAACAGAAACCAAGAATACTCAAGCCTGGCAAAAGATGAAGAAGACTCTTGTCTCCAATCTTAAACTGTCAAAAGCAAAGCATTCTTTGAAGAAGAGTTGCTCTCACTTGTGGACATTTTTTTAGTCCACTTGGATGCACCACACCTATGGCAGATGCCACACCCAGGATGTGGTGCCTGCCGGTATGTTGATTTGAACTCTTTGGAATGCCTACACCTACGGAAGGCGCCACCTAGGGTGTGCTCTTGTTGGCTCCAATTTTCTCAAGTTTTCTTCATTCTTCAAAGGTTGTGGTCATTCCTTTGCTTAAACCAAGCTCCCAATTGTCCTTTTCTTGATTTCAAATCATTCCAAGTCACCAATCTTTTAAGTTTCAAGGCTAAATAATCAAATGGCAAACCAAACACCTCCCTAAATTTCAAAATTACACAAAAAGCATATCGGAAGTCCTAAGTGAAGAAACTAAAAAATAAGAGGAGAATTATTCCTAATTAACACAAAATACATGAATCAATACACACAATGTAGTATGAAATTCAATGCATCAATTTAGCTCCTTATATGAATTTATTGCAGAAACCTATAATGAACAGACTTGGAGAAGCTTATGACAGTCCAGACAAGGTAAGTCAACAACTATGTTAACTATTTGTGGGAGAGTGATACAACAATCTTGGCTTAAAAATTCATGAATTTTCTTTAGACAGAATTGGCCTTGCAACTATGTTGGGCCATTGGAGAGCATGGTGGAGGTGGTGGATCTCACAAAGATGAAGCTCGTGAGCTTTTTGAGAGTTTAGAACTACTTCTATATGAAAACCTTTCGACAAGGTATGAACGTATGATGTAGTGTACAACTTGCTTTTTCCAGTTCTGTTGATTTCTTTAGTAATTGTTTGACGACTTGATCTACTTTGTTTACTTGGTAGTCGTCTGGGCATGACACAGGGGGTATCCCTAAGTTCTGACAAGGATACTTGCAGAGGATCATCACAGTCCAGGCTTTTATGTTTTGTTGTGACAGCCATTGCAAAGCTTGCTACGCATCATCGAGAGTTACAACCAAGAGCACGTGTAGCTTTGGGCAAGGTATTCTTTGGTGCCACAGGGCAAAGAATAATAGGTCATTGATGTAATTATCTAATTTAGGATTTCCTTTTCAGGTGGCTCGGTCTCTAATTTCAGATGCTAGAGTATGGAGACGCACATGTGATTTCCTGGGTTTGATGAAAGATCCTGCTATATGTTCATCCATATTGGGTCCTTCGCGATCTGCACAAGGCACCACGCAGAAAATTGGCAGCATTAACTGGAGTGAAGGTTCAACGAAGATGGTTGCACATATTCCATTTTACATACTAGGGGAACAAGAAGGTGAAGGATACTTTGCTCCCATAGTCATTAATTCATGTGCATTACCTGCTCATTCTTTTAATACATAGGAATTACAATGAAAACAAGAGTTTGAATCCAAGACTTTCTGCATACTACTTCAACTCCTTGTAGTGGTTGGACATTTTTATATTTGAAGAGTGGAAGATAATTGTATATATCAGTCCAACTCGGTTCCGTGTCATGCGTTGGCACACGCATATCTCCTGCATTTATTTCTCTTTTATAGTGGAAATTTTCTACTCACTTTTTAAGTTGCTTACATGTTACAGGGCCACCTTTTCATGATTTCTCATTCTCAGATATCATTTCAAGAAGGTGATGGAAGCTGAAATTATACCTGGTGGTCATCATTTTTTTTTACTCCCAGTATGGGCATCTTGGTATCATTCTGATCTATCCTAAAATTATATTTTTAATCTGTGTATGGATTAATCTTCCTGATCTATCCTAATTTGTTATTTTTTTAGTCTGTTTATTGATTAAGCCCTCCGTGAATAAGCAAGTTTTATATCTCCACAGATTATTGGGTTCTAGGATTCACTCCTAAAAATTTAGCACTTTATGAGTGAATCTTGACTCTTGTCGAAACAATGACTTTGTCCGTCCCATTGGAAAATATTTAGACTAATGTAATGTGATTTTTCTGTTCAATTGTTAATTTTAAAAACATTGTTGGTTTCTATTGAGGCTTGTAGAAGTCGTCATACTTCAAAATAAACGATGAGAAAATGAGCCTGGTTGCTTTCAACTATTTCTTTTTTGGAAATAGTTTTATTTACTTCCCCCCTTTTCCCGTAATGGCTTTGATTTCAACTCATTTGTAAAACAAGGGAACTCTTAAAATACGTACTTCTCTTGTTCATTATTTTCCCTAACTTCTATATTTGAGCTCATGTATATAGTAAACGAGCAAATATATGGATAGATCTGGGATGGATACTCAGGGTTCACACACACATGTTTCTATATTAATATGATATTGTTCACTTTGATTTTAAACTCTTATAATTTTATTTTTGGTTATCTTCCAAAATGTCTTATACTAATGAAGACTATATGTATGTTATAAACTTTTATTTCTTTTCATAATCTAGTAATATAAGACTTTGTTTGTAATCTAATAAATCTTATGACTATATATGTATTGACCTACAATATTTTTCAGTCAATAATAAATTAAAATAAGTTAAAGTGTAAAAAAAAAAAACTTGCCATATTTCAATAAAAATATTTCTTATCTTCTCATGATGAGAATAAAAGTTGTTTAAAGTATAATGATATAACTTTCCTATAAATAAAAGATACTCAAATCTTTTTACATAGTTTTCTAACAAATATGAGATCAAATATTTTTGTCTCTGTGTTCTTGGAAATAAAAGATGACATAAAGCAAATGTTTCTTTAGTTTTATATATCATTTTACACTCTCAAGAGTATTTTGGAAAATTTAAAATAATTTGAATAAAAAATTAAATTAAAATAGACTTGAGTTTTAAGTTCTTCTCTTATGGTTATAGGAATATTTATTTTTCACTCCCTTAGCATAAGAATAAAAGTTTCATAAAACAGAGAAATATAACTTTCTTAAAAATAAAATGTACTTGAGAATCTTTGATTCTACCCGTGCCTAAATTTAATTTTGTTAGATGATAACGACATCAAACTCTTAACATTAAAGATTTCTTGAAGGAAGATTGAAGAGTACATGGCATTCACTCACTACATGAAGATAATTAGTGTATAGATTTTATGGTGAATTTGGGTCTTAGTACCAGTGTTAAGATAATCATTTTGGAGACTCTATTACTTCCTCATTAATTGCATGTTAAAAAAAAAAATCTTAGACATTTTTTTGGTTTATTAAGAAGATATAATTCCTTTTTATTGGATTGATTTTTAGAAGAGTAAAATAATACTTAGTGATGACTCTTACACATAAGACAATGGTCTTTTCTTTTAAACAATATGTAATTTAGGTCCTACTATTAGATTAACATCCATTGACTATTAAGTTTAGATGTTGACTAATCACATGAAGCATATTATTTAATTTGAATCATGAATAGAATAATAAACATTATTAAAATGAAAGAAATTTTTTTTTTTAATGTTAGTAAATAACATAATATTATTTTATTTTAATAATGTCATTAAATAAATTTATTTTAATAATATTATTAGATAACATTATTTATTTTATTTCATTTAAATAACGTCATAGAATAAATTTATTTTAACATTATTTATTTTATTTTAATATTTTATTATATCAGTCGTTTATTTAATTTTATTTTAATAACTTTACTAAATATATTTGTTTTAATACTGATATTAAATATCATTATTTATCAAAATAAATTTACTCATTTATTTTATTTTTTTGATTTAATAATATTATTTATCAATATAATTAATTAAAAAGAAATTTAAATTAAATAACATTTTTATATTACTTAAGTGGTGATATATCACTTGCCGACAATTAAATTTAGTAATCAACTAACGTCAAATTAATTTTATGAGACGTTTGATATATGAAATATTATTATTTTCTTAAAAATCTTAAATAAAAAAATTTGATTTCTTATGTTTGGTAGTTATTTTAATTTTTTTCTTCAAGAATATAGTTTTTTAAAAATCATTTTTAACCTACTTTTTCACAAATAATTTTTGTGACGAGGATATGAATCCAACTTTTTTGAGTTCGAGAAAAAATTATATATATATATATAT